AAAAAATTAGTATAATTCTAAAAATAGGCTCACACCTCTACATACCAGATTCATGAAGTGAAAACATTTGATTTGCAAAGATACAGCACACACACTCACAGGCTTGCAGAATGTAGCCTTTGGTTGTTTAAATTATTATATATTCTGGAGTGTTTTTGTGTACATCCTTCCCACAAACAAAACCCAGAGGGAATAAAAGCAAATACTGTTGGATGACGATGCACGGAGGGGATTGTAATCATTGCAATGAAACAATGTGTGTAAAACAGTTGTTCTCCCATGTAAATTCACTCAATTCACAATAAAACTTAAAAAAAAAAAAAAGATACAGCCTCAGTAACTTCACCTCTGTTGATATACCCAGAGCAAGTGTTAGAGGGCTCGCTCTCTAACAGAATCCCCCATTTTTCTCAATGTAAGATAATTAGCAAACTCAGCGTTTCTCACTCTTGATACTACTGACATTCTGGGCTGGATAATTTGTTGTTGGAGGGCTAAAGGATTGTTTACAACATATTGGCCTCTATCTAATAGATGCTATTGACAATCTGGAACCTGGGAATCTCCAGGCATCATCAAATATCCCCTGAGGGGCAGGGGCAAAAATCAACCTGGTTGAGAACCACTGCTCTAGAGCCATATGTAGAAAGGGGCAAAGAAAAAGCAGTAGATTCTAGAGGCACGCAGATTAGCTATGAACTGAAGCAGAAACCAAAAGTGCAGGAAGGTCTTTAACCTGGGGGAGAGTGCAGTATCTGAAGAGTTCCTTGTCTTCTTGGAAATCTTGGACCTTTGAAACCATTTTCTCATTCTGAAGAAATTCTGATTTTGCAACGGCCACATCTCTCATTACCATTATTCCCATCGGTTTCACCTCCTTTCTGCAGATTCTGTCAAACTCATCCCTAGAAAATCAAATTAGTAAACGATGTCAATCCACCTTACTCCAAACACTTGCCTGGTCCTTCTCACTAGTATCCACTGATGTCAAGGTTTGTTACTCTGCACAAAGTCTGCTTCCAATCCTTCATAGAAATGATTCTGGTAAATTGTTGTTAAGTGTCATCGAGTCGGTTCCTAAATTGAGTTTCCAAGGAGCATCTGGTAAGTTTGAACCATCATCCCTGTGGTTAGCAGTCCAGTGCTTATCCTACAGTGCCACACCAGGACTCCATGAAAGAGAGGAGAAAATGTCCAACTCTGAAATTCAAGCTGGGGTTCACTACCAGAATTAAAATAATCCTTAGCAGAAGACAAGGATGAGGGAATATTTGTGACCTGGGTATATTATATTATCATATGATAATAAAAACAGCAAACACTTGTGTAGTACTTATGCTGCATATAGTGTTCGGGTGTGGTGCTGTAGGATAAGCACTGGACTGCTAACCGCAACGTTAGCAATTCCAATCTACCAGCCATTCTCGGTAACCTTATACAGGGTCACTATGAGTCTGAACCAACTCAACAGCACACAACAACAATAATATACATTTGACCTTATTTAGTTCTAATCACAATGTAAGGTTTAAGTGGTGATTGTGTGCCATCAAGTTGGTTCTGACTCATAGCAAACCTGTATAGAGTTTCCACAGTTATAAATCTTTACAGGAGCAAAAAGTTTCATCTTTCTCCACAAACCTTTAAGGACTATACTGATATTTCCCCCATTTTACAGATGTGAAAATAGAGGCATGGAAAGGTTCAATAACTTGTCCCAGGACACACAATACTAAGTAGAGGAGCTAGAAAATAAAGTCAAGCAGTCTGCTTCTAGAACCTGTGCTCTTACATACAACTAACAAATCATTATAAAAGAAATTTGAACAAATATAAGCTAATCGAATTTGTATTTCCATTACATATATATTTTTATAAAATAATGAACAGTGTTCTTATACCTAAAGCGTTGAATATCAGCATCAGATACCAGATGTTTAATGACAAGAAATCCATTTTCTTCATAAAATTGTCTCTGTTCCAGGCTTAGGACATTATTATCCAGCGTATACCTAAAGGGAAAAACAATGAAATTCCCAAATAATTCCACGTTTTTAAAATACTAGCCTTACAATATGTATCAAAAACTTGAAAAATGCTTATATTATCCAAGTCAGCAATCTTATTTCTAACACTTCATTCTAAAGAAATAATCTGAACTATTGAAAAACACATTAAGCACAAAGCATAAACTATGGTCACCCCAAATGAGCATGAATGGAAGAATAATTACAATTATAGCCTAGGAATTCCTATGAACCAGTCCTACTTTGTACTTTAGAGTGAGTATGAACTGGAATCAAATAACAATTAACTATGTTATATTCACTCAATGGAATATGGCTTGGACATTAAAAACAGACAGGATAAAAGAGCATGCTCAGTTATTGTAAAATATGATTATCTAAAACAAAGACATTGTAGAAAAACAGCTACAAAGAAATGCACTCGAATATTTGGACATTCACTAATTAAACTACGGATACGTTTAAAAAATAACATATTTCTCTGATTCTTTACATTTTTCTATACATAATTGATACGATTTTTCAAATGGGAAACAAATTCATTAAATTGTGTTATTGGCTTTGTTTGATTGTCAAGTTTACACATTCTCAGAAGTAATCAAAGTAAGAAAATCCAAACAGGTGCACAATGTACAAGAGCCCAAATTCTGAGGCGCTGGGTTTGGGGAAGGCTGCAGCTACAGTTGGAGCCTAGTTTCATCTTCAGTCTTGACATGGGTTCACACTCCAGTTTAAGTTCTTTTAAGTTACTTCCCTAATGCTTATTGTTGTTGTTGTTGTTGTTGTTGTTGTTAGGTGACTTCGAGTCAGTTCAGTTCTGACCCTTAGCCACCCTACATAAAACAAAATAAAACCCGCCCCAGTTCCTGCGCCATCCTCACAACTGCTGCTACACTTGAGCCCATTGCTTAAGCCTTAAAGCTTGTTGTTGTTAAGTGCTGTCGAGTCGGTTCCGACCCATAGTGATCCTGTACAGGGTTTCCAAGGCTGTAAATCTTTACAGGAGTAGAAAGCCTCATCTTTCTCCCACGGAGCAGCTGGTAGTTTCGAACCGCTGACCTTAAGGTTCGCAGCCCGATTCGTAACCACTACACTACCAGAACTCACTTACGAGCCTTTAAACAAGACCAATCATGGAGCCCTGGTGTGGCCTTGTAGGCTAAACACTGGACTGCTAGCTGCAAGATCGGTAGTTCAAACCCACCAGCCACTCTTCGCTATGAGTCGGAACTAACTTGATGACACTTAGCAGCAATAATTATGCAACATAAGAATGTTTTTCCTTGTGGTCAGGTACAGATGTGCACTCTCTTGAACACTCTTGACTCAGTACCCACATGAGACATTTTCTGTGAAGGCAGATGCAATGCGTATGTGTGCCGAAGGGCTCTGAACATCATGTGACATTCTGACGACTACCCTGAAGTCCTCGCCTCGAAACGAGCATGACTTTTGCAATATTTGCCACTGTAAATCAATCCTGGCAAAATCTGTGTTTGAAATGTCCCAAACATTATAAAGATCAAGATTTAACCCTATACAAATTTTTATGTAGCTGTTCTTTCTGGAACTGCTTGGTTGTATTTCTTATGTTCCACGCAGCTCCCCAGTTTTAAATCTCAGCAAGCCTTAATAAACGTCTTTACTCTTTTACTTTAAATAGAGTACAGGTTTTCCTTCATTGATATTTAATTGGTATCAGAAGCAAACTTTAAAGGCTTCTAATTTCCTGTGACCCCGGAGAACTGTACACCTGGAAGCACTGGAGTCAGCAAAAGCCGTTTGTGCTCAATGCCTCTCCCTAGGCTCTCAGGAGTCTATTCTAAGTAAGCCCTCTCGCTCAGATCAACCCTCCAGTTTCCTTGCGTTAACAACCCACCCAACTCCCTGTCACTGAGTGGATTCTGACTCATAATGACACTACAGAATCAAGTAGAACTGCTCCATAGGATTTCCTAGGTTATGAATCTTTTCAGAAGCACACAGCCTCATCTTTCTCCTACAGAGTGGCTGGTGGGTTTGAGCAGTTAACTTACAGTTAGTAGCAACCCAATGCTTATCTTGCTGTGCCACCAAGGCCCCTTTGCATCAACAACAGCATACCCCAAAAGCTCCATTCACCCAATCTTTTCTATTTGAATTAGGACTCTCTAAGAGGTTCAAACCCACCAGCCACTCCTCAGAAACCCTACATAGGGTCAGTATGAATCAGAACCCATGTGTATGCACTTAACAACAACAACAAAAATATTCCATGGAGATCAAGGACTTCTCCTTTAAAGAAAACTTAAGCTAAGGCAACAATGTTAGCTAAGATGTCAAGATAACCAAGACATATCAAACCTGAATATTTGTAAATATTTGTTTTTTTTTTCTCCCCCTTCTTTCTGAATTTCAAAATACAAGTAGAAAATAAAAATCTGGGTCTTCACATTTTTACATTTATACTAATCAGAACAAGTCCTGAAAAGTGAGGATTGTAGGATATATAATGCATTCTAATCAGGCAAAGGATGTTTTGCATTATATATCCTGGTTGTCACTAAAAAAAACTTTCATGTCGAATAGAACAGTTAAAAATTAAAAATACAAAGAGTAGTTACAAATTAACAGTAGGTCAACTTACTGGAAATGTTGAGGAAAACTGGCAGTTGAAACAGGTCCCGAAGTGGGATGAGCTATCTAGTGTAAAAATTAAGGCAAATAAAGTAAACTTTCAGAGCCTACCCTACTTCCCTAGAAACACCCATTTGCCCCTGATTAGTTCATCTATGGAAAGATTGTTCCTGAACCCATATCAGCCCCACACCGTTTCATATACACGCACTGTCTTTTGTGCATCCTTGTTTACGGCTTTTCTTATTTGCAACACTTCGTTTTATTTCACAATAGTCTGGGGAAATAGCAGGAAGAACAGAAGTTTTATGATCATTCCTACAGTACAAAGAAGGGAGCCTAGGCATGAAAGCTAAGTAACTGGGCCAAGGTCACCCAGCAAAACAAATTGGCTGAGTCCAGCCTTGACCACACTCGTCGATGAAGTCTCTTTTTATTCCAACTGTTTGTTTTTCCACTAAACTGCTGAATGAATAAAGTTCAAATGTTCAACTCTACAAGAGAAACATATGCTATCTAGGAGAGGTATTTAATTTAGCAGAAGCCTAATCCAAAATATTAGAAAGAGTTTGCCTGGTCATTTTTTTTTTAAGTCCATATAAAATAAATAATGACTCCAAGAAAAGTATGTATGATTCATACCTTCTAGCATAATTTAAAAATTTCTTGAAGAACAAGAAATTATTTGTATAAAGTCTCTTTTCTACCCACTAGCCACAGATTATTGATGATTGAAAAAGCATCTCATCTTTAAAAACATTTGTTTCTTGTTTCTTTAGCTTAAAGAGTTTCTTTCAGAATGTCACTCCACAAAGCATAAACATGCTTTCATTTCTTCAATGACACCCTTATATAGTCTGGTGACACTGTTACAGTCAAGGACAGAGGCAGGCCAGAAGTCAGAATTGCAAGCTGCTTCCAGTTTTCCTCCAAGCAGAGGTTTTAAGGCCCTTCAAATTTTTGGAACAAAATACGGATGCCAGGACAGTTCCTACTTCTGCCTTCCAAACCAATGTTCTTTTCCTGCATTATGCTTTATGCTCCTAAAGCGATCAATCCTTTATTCAGACATATGCCATTCTTTAAAAACAGGCTGAGGATAAAGCATGCCACAGTATTTCCAATGTGGTGCTATAAGATAAGCACTGGACTGCTAACCACAAGGTCGGCAGTTCAAGCCCACCAGTCGCTCCACTGAAACCCTATATAGGATCGTTATAAGTCGGAATCAACTTGACAGCACTTAACAACAACAACAACATGAAGACTAAGACATACAGTCACTGAATATCTAGGGTTGAGCTGTCCTATACTGTAACCAGTTACTTTCTATTTTTAAATGTCTTTAAAGTTTAGAAAATGTACATACACATTTCTTTTTAAAGCATTTCTTATTTTTACCATTTGCTGTCAAGTTGACTCTGACGCATGGTGATACCATGTGTGTCAGAGTAGGGTTTTCTTTAGTAATTTATATGATTTATCTGATTGTTGTTGATAATATACACAGTGATAAAGAATATTCTAAACTCCAAGGCATTTGACATGGGCTAAAAGTATAGATCTGATCCCATTTTACTAACTTAGCTGCTTGTCAGAAGGGACTGCTGCTTGGCAATTCTCAACAAATTTGCTAACTAGGTCAAGCGCTGCTCACCAAGTGTTGAGACGTTCATAAGAGGTGGTGTAATTGTTCACTTCAGGTTAGCAAGTAAGTACTAAAAAACTCGTGCTTACCTTGCTTATTGCATAATCTGCTCCTGGCTGCTAATCAGTGGTTTAAACCCAACAACTGCTCCACAGAAGAAAGATGTTGCAGTCGGCCTCTATGAAGTTTCCCACTGCCATCTAGTCTATTCTGACACCTCTAGGACAGAGATGCGACCCTCTAGGACAGAGAAGAACTGCTCCAGAGAATTTCTGAAACTGTAAATCTTTAAAGGATCAGATAGCTTCATCTTTATCCCTTGGAGTAGCTGATGGGTTTGAACCACCAACCTTGCTCAATGTTTAACCCACTACACCCACTACACCACCAAGCTCTTTCTATAAAGATTGACCGCTTCGGAAAGCCCATTCTATGAATTAGAATAGATTGGATGGCACACCACAACAACCATCTTAACACTATTATAACAAAAACAACAGGATCTCAGTGGCAAAGTTCAAAACAGAAAGGACCTTTTGGATCTCTGTGCAGCACCATGGTGGTTGGCAATAATACGCACCTTAACAAAAAGGAGCCAAGAAGAAAGTGGTTGGTCCATTTGTAAGAAAGATTGGTATGATGTGAAGGCACCTGCTTTGTTCAATATGAAAAAATATTGGACAAACACTAGTCACAAGAACCCATGGAACCAAAATTGCATCTGATGGCCTCACGGGTCATGTTTTTGAAGTGAGCCATGCTGATCTGCAGAACTATGAAGCTATGTTTAGAAAATTCAATCTAATTACTGAGACTGTTCAAGTCAAAAGCTGCCTGACAACTTTCATACCATGGATCTTGTTTTTGTTGTTATTAAGTGCTATTGAGTCAGTTCCGACCCATAGCGACCCTGTATAGGGTTTCCAAGAAGCAGCTGGTGAAGTTGAACCACTGACCTTGAAGATTAAACTGACTTTGCGGTCCAGAACATTAACCACAGCACCACACCAGGACTCATGACAAAATGTGCTCCATGGTCAAAAAATGGCAGCCCATGATTGAAGCTTGTGTTGATGTCAAGACTACCAATGATTATTTGCTTCGCTTGTTCTGTGTTGGCTTTACTAAAACACATATAAGCAACCATCAGATTCGGAAGACATCTTATGCTCGACACCAAAAGGTCCATCAAATTTGGAAGAAAATGATGGAAATCATAACCCAAGAGGCAAAACAAATGACTTGAAAGAAGCAATCAATAAACCGATTTCAGACAGCATTGGGAAGGACAGAGAAAAGTTTGCTGGTGTATTTACCCTCTCCATGATGGGTTCGTCAGGAAAGTAAAAAGGCTGAAGAAGCCCAAGTTTGAATTGGGAAAACTCACAGAGCTTCATGGTGAAGGTAATGGTTCTGGGAAAGCTACAGCTCTGAGCCATCAGTTCAAGACTTTGTTTAAAGTTCAGACGTAATGATGACAAAAGATCTTATTTGTAAAAAAAAAAAAAAAAAAAAAAGTAGAAAGGGACTGGACAGGGAAATCTCAAATCTTAAGCTATATCTTAGCTATATCTAAATCAGTGGTTCTCAAAATTTAACATGTACCAGAACCACCAAGTTATCACCCAGAGTGCTGAGTCCCGGTGCCAGATGCTGATTTACTCAGTCTGCAATGGAACTTCACATTTCTAGCAAGTTACCAGGTGACGCTTCTGTTGGCTGATGCTGGGACCACTTACAGAACCACTGCTTTTGTTAAACAACTTCGGTCAAGATTTTTAAGTCTCAGTTTCTCCATTTTCTTATCTGTAAAACGCAAGTACATAATCACCCCCCTTTCAAGCCATGGACAGAATTTGAAATTTACAGTTACATACTGCTTTGACACTTAACTATGAGAGCAATAATGAAAGTAAAAAGAGACAAGCAGTGATCCATCTTATGAAAGACTTTCAAGATCCTAAATATAGCAGAACAAAGACTAATTAGGTCGCTTAAGAAAAAAAATACCAGGCAGAAAGTTCCCTGGAGCTTCCAAAAGTATGTCCTGAATGAGAACACTTAATCTAGGTAGGCAAAACCAGTTCTATAAAAGCAATTTGATTTATGTGTAGGGTAGTGACCTTTCTGGATCCACATATCTGCAGCACCAGTAATGCATAGATTCTCTCCTGGATTCATTTCTGAATCATCAGGAGGTAGAAATGTAACCCTAAGTTCTTTTCCAGGAAGCAATGCAAATATCTCATGGGGTTCACAAGCACCCAGAGGTGGTACAGGCAGACCTCCCTCCCCAAAAGGAAGCAGTCCAACAGACTCCACCCTGAGAAGTTGGGAGCAGGACAGTGCCCTGTGTCCTGCTTAGCTGAAGGTGGCATGACCCTGGTGTGACTGGGACTCCAGGCCTATACCTGTGCTGTGTCCTCTCCAGAGAGGGCCCCTGTGGCCTGTGGGTCTGCCTGGCTGCCTTCCAGGAATGTGCTACAGTTTACAATACCACTGTGCTTTGACAGGGGTCCTGGTGTGGCGCTGTAGGATAAGCACTCGACTAACTGTGGGGTAAGGTCGGTTTGACCCTCAAGGTCGACGGTTCAAACTCACCAGCTGCTCCTCGGAAACCCTATACAGACTCACTCTGAGTTGGACCGACTCGAGGGCACTTAACAACAAGGTTTAACATGTCTAGAAGTCCTTGGGTAACGCAAATGATCAAGCGATGGACTGCTAGAGGTTCGAACCACTTAGAAGCCCTCAGAAAACAGGCCCTGGCGATCTGTTTCCAAAAGGTGGAGAATGGTTAGAGTGACGCCACAGAGGACAGGACAGTCATGCTCCTGCTGACCAAGCGATTTGGCGGCCACCGGCAGCTAAGACTGCACGCACCCCATCCCACCCCTCTAGGTACGGAGAAAAAAACGTGATCACCGGACAAGGAGACGCAGAGGAAGGGGGAAAGCCGACACAGGCAAGCATGCGATGCACCCTCAAGACCACCATCCTGACCAGGGTCACCAGGGGCCTCCGCCCAAGTCCCGCGCTGCCCCCGCCCTAAAGGATACCACAGTTTCAGCTGCGGGCCGCCCGAGGTGTCCCAGAACGATCCGCAGGCGGGCGTCAGCACGACCCCGGTCCATGGCAGCGGCGAGGAGCAGACACTCGGCTAACTGAACTTCGGTCGGTCACTTAAGTTGCTTCAGGACCCCACCTGCCACGGAAGCGGGAGGAGCAACCGGAGGGACGTAACCTGGCGAAGGCCAGGACACTGCCTGCTTGGGGCCTGAGAAGCGTCACCTCGCCAGGGCGGATCCCATAGAGTGCTGCAGAGACGCCCCCTCCTGGCTGTTTCAGCAAACAAGCCACGACCCTGGTGCACACTGTTCCTAAGCAATCACAGGAGGAAAACTAGGCCTGAGGTTAATTTGACCAAGGTCATTGCCTTGAACGTAATTATGTCCCTTCAATGAATGTATGCGCCAACTTCCCTGGGCCAGGATTTTCAGTGGCTTGGCAATGATGATGTAATTAATCCCCATGTTGTAATCTGATGTGTTCCTTCTACTAAATACTTATTTTTAGAAATAAAGAAAAGATGTGCTATTTTAAAACTCAGGACCCTCTAGTCAATCAATAAGGATTCATGACGCCCAATATGTTAAAGAGTAGAACTGCTCTATAGGGTTTTGTGGGGTTTTTTAATGTTTTATTGTGAATTATGTGATAGTTTACATTAGTTTTATATTCATCCTATCATATATCTACAGGGATTTTTAGTCTATAATCCTTACTAGCAGAGGCGTGTAAGGAGCCCTGACATGCCAGTGGGTTACACAATGGGCTGTTAATCATAAGGTCACCAGTTCGAATCCAACTCGATGGCACACAACCACACCGCCACACAGATAAGCATCTGACTGGGAACCAGTTAAGTTGGAGGTGCAAGCCCATCAGTTACTCAACAGAAGAAAGATGAGACTTTCTGTTAAAGCCTCAGAGTTGGACTGCTAACTGCAGTTGAGATGGTTTTGACTCACATCTACCAACCATTTATGAGAAGCAGCTTGTAGGTGTGAGCTGTTGACCTTGAAGTCATCTAAGTGTAAATAGGTTTGCATCACTCAGGAATATGTGCTATTTAAAAGAGCTGTTTAATTTTGTAAGAGTAGTGCAACAAGATGAAGCTTTCGCCTCCCATAAGTGTTTACAGCCTGGGAAACCCTAATCAGGGTGGCTATGAGTCGGAACAGACTCATTGGCACATAACCACCTCCAACCATCACATCCAAAATATTAGAAACAGTTTGATCATTTTTTAAAAAAGGTCTAAAAATAAATAATGACTCCACTCCTAGAAAAGGATAAGCCATACAGTCTGATCTAATTTCAATAATAATCAGAATTTAAATAATTTAAATAATCAGAAATTCTTTTAAAAAAAAAAACCTGGAAATTCTTCTTTTAAGACCTCTTTCCAATTTATGACCACAAATTATTGGCAGTATTTTCCTCTTATTTTTTCTGTTTCCTTAGTTTAAAGATTTACTTTCATAATGCCACCCCTCCTAAATATGTTACCACTTTGCAAATGACATCTTCATATGATCTGGAGACATTACTGACTTAAATGCAATAGTTAAGGAGAGAGGTTCACCAGAGTCAGAACTACTAACGCGTGTCCTGGTGTGGCACTGTAGGATAAGCGCTAGACTACTAACCAAGAGGTCAGAGGTTCAAACCCACCAGCGGCTCCTCAGAAACCCTATACAGAATTGCTGTAAGTCAGAACTGACTCAACAACACTTAACAACAACCTTTAGCCTCAAGGAGTCCTTGTAGCGCAGTAGGTTAACTACAAGGTCAATGGTTCAAATCTACCAATGGACTCCTAGGAGAAGGATGAGGCTGTCTGTTCTCATAAAGATTTACAATCTCTGAAACACTGGAGCAGTTCTACTTGGTTCTACAGGTGCACTCTGAACCGGAATGGACTTGATGGCCATAGATTTGATTTTTTTTGATTGTCAGCCTCTGGACTAGGAGTCCTGGTGTGGCGCTGTGGGTTAATGGGCTGGACTGCAAAGTCGGTTTGAACTGCAAGGTTGGCGATTCAAGCTCATCTATAGCTCTGTGGAAACCCTATACAGGGTCATTGTGGATTGGAACCAACTCTACAACACTTAACAACTACAACAACAAAAGCCTCAGGACTAGAGGAAGACTCATTTGCAACCTATGATATGCAGATGACACAACCTTGCCCCTAAAAGCAAAGAGGACTAGTAACCTATGTTGATGAAGAATCAAAGCGCCTTGAGGCATAGTCTCAAGAGAGGTAATAACACTAACATGCTTGACTACCTTATGAATATTGATTTCCCTTGCCTCCTATTGTAAAATAGACACTTGAGTGGGATAGATAGGAATTTCAAGAAAATTCATTACAGAAATCTTGTAAGCCTGGCTTCAGCCTATAACTGATTGGAATACCTGAAAGGGGTTCTACAACTTGCCCAGTGAAATAGGTCTCTTGCGGAGACTTTGCAGTGTATAGGACCTTAGGTGCAATCCTGAGCCCCATCCAGAACATTCTGAGGTGAGACATTCCCACTAGAAAGGACAAGCAGACCAATCTGGAACAGCTAGAGCAACAGAGGATACATCTTCAAAGAAAGATGTCCCTTTGGGACAAAGCCCCTCTGAGACTGAACTCAAAGGGAACACATAAGCAGACATGTAAACTTGCTGATGACCACATTGGTCTTCTGGTGAATGGAAGAGAAGGAAAGGCCGCAATGAAGAAATGAGCTGAGTTCAACCACGTTCCATAGACTCCTGTTGACCTGAAGTTGAGAGCAAAAAGAGTAAGGACTGGTTGGTCCAAAGCGTGGTGAGACCTGGGGACACCGGAGCCCATGGACAAGGACATAGCCACAGAGGGCTAGAGCTGGTAGTGAAGCATCCAGCTGATACAAAGTGATGGGAGATGCACAAGAACACCCAAACTTACAGATAGTACTCATTTGACCTACCCTCAATGGCTTCATAATCAGAACTCAACTAGAGGAAGATAAAATAAAAATAATTTTTGATAAAGGAAACAAGGGTAAATAGCTACAATTTTATGAACTTGACCTATACTCATGGATGTAGTTGCTCAAAATACCAACAGAGAGGAAAGGAGTCTTCACATCAAGTATCAATGCTATCCCCTCTGTATACAGGGTAGATAGGGACAGGCAGCTTAGACATTGGCTACCTAAAATGAGGGGGTGATAAAGGCACAAAGTGACTGGCTTACACGTTTTCAAGAGGGAGTTTAGTTTAAAAGTGTGCAGGGGAAGAAAGAGTCCCACTGAATAGTTTTCATCTTGTATAGATGGGTCTGGTGATAAGAGATGGGGATAAGATTCTTATTACTCAATAGTGAGTAATTGTTTTCATGACAAATTGCAACTGTCACAATTGTAAAGGTAGAAATTTTGTAACAAAAACAGGAATAGTTAATCTTACAATCCAGAAACACATCCATCGACCATCAAGGGAGAAGAGCACAAGCGGAATGTGGGACCCTATCCAGAGAAGCAGCAACACCAGAGATGGAGGCAGAGATGGGGACATGGAGAAAAGGGAGCAGCTGAGGACTCTAGATTCATGGAATTAGAGGGTCTGAGAGCTGACAGCCAGGGGGCAGGCTTGCATAATGTGCCTTTTGGTGGTGTAAATTATTATATATGCCTGAGTGTTTAAAGAAAAAAAGAGGTACAATGAATAGAGAGAAAATACTGTTAACTGATGGTATATGGAAGGGATTATAATCATTGTAATGAAACAAAGGATATGATTTGTTGAATGTAAAACTGATGATCTGCCCTGTAAACTTCCACTCAATTCACAATGAAAAACTTTTTAATAAAAAAAAAAAGAATCAAAGATCCCAGTCTTTAGTATTGATTACACCTCAACAGAAAGAAACCAAAACACCTCACAGCTGAACCAATAACATTGTGATAAAAAAGAGAAAAGACTGAAATTGTCAAGGATTTCATTTTACTTGGATCCATAATTAATGCTCATAGAAGTAGCAGTCAAGAAATCAAGCGGTATGTTGTACTGGGCAAGTCTGCTGCAAAAGATCTCTTTGAAGTTTTAAAAAGTAAAGAAGTCATTTTCAGGCCTAAGATGCACTTGAACCAAGCCATGGTATTTTCAATCACTTTATATGCATATGAAAGATGAACAATAAGGAAAAAAAAAAATCAATGCATTTGAATGTTGGTGTGGGAGAAAAATATTAAAACTACCATGAACTGCCAGAAGAATAAATAAATTTGTTTTGGAAGAAATAAAGCCAGAATACTCTTTAGGAGTCCTGGTGTGGCTCTGTGGGCTAATGCACCAGACTGCAAAGTCATTTGAACTGCAATGTCGGTGGTTCAAGCGCACCGCTGCTCCTTGGAAACCCTATACAGGGTTGCTATAGGTCGGAATCAACTTGACGGCACTTAACAACAACAACAACTCTTTAGAAGGGAGAACTTTGTCTTTGGACATGTCCTTAGGAGGGACGAGCCCCTCGAGAAGTATAGTCAGTGTATGATAAAGTAGAGAGTGAGTGTAAAAGAAGAAGCCCTCCAATGAGATGGCTTGACACAGTGACTACAACAGGATCAAACATGACACTAATTGTGAGGATGGCCCAGAACAAGGCCGTGTCTCATTCTATTGTACAAAGGGTCACTATGATTCCCTCCGAATTGACGCAACAGCAACTAACAACTGTCAGCCTCCAGACCAAGAACTGCCTTTCAGCTTCGGATTCTTTTTCTTTTTACACGTTCCATCTTACCCAGAGTCCTAGATTCTTTAGGTTAGCACAAGGACTCCCTGGACAATCCTCTTATTAGCTCTTAACTCATCTGCTTGTTCTTATCATTCCACTGCAGGAACCTGGCTGATTCAGAACTACTCAGCTAGGATTGCTGAGGGTTTTCAGGTGAGACATTTATGTTTATATATTGTTTAAAGTTAAGTCTCTGGCCTTTGGTGGGTACTTCAAAAAGAATCTGAATCCTGCTGCTGCTGAGAAAAGTCCCTACTATACCGGCTGCTCCGCGGGAGAAAGATGAGGCGTTCTGCT